GAAGAAGAATGGTGAGCTTGGTGTTCACTTGGAAAAGGGAACCTCAAGCTGAGAGAGCAAAAGAAAGGAGGGTTGGGTTTTTATATCAGAACAGAACAAATTAGCAGTGCGATTCACGTTGGTGGGGCTGCGCCTGCCCACCATGGAAGAAACGAGACGCTATTTCTGCGGAAAATGGCTATTTCTTGGGTTATTATTGGTGCTTTGGTCAGTCTCACACCTACCCTCTCTCTCTTTCTCTCGATTTATTAAATTTAAATATAGATTAATTTAAATGTTACAAATATTCAATTACCAATTTGACCCATGTGGCCCACATGAGGTAAAATTGGTATATACTCGTACTTGTGAGATTGAAAGTACAAATTACTACCCCATATCTGTTGTGCTCAAAAAAATCAACTCATGCGGTTTTTAATTCCAATTTTATTGCCGTAATTACAGAGTTTTAATTTAGTCTGTATAATTTATTGTTTCTTCGGATATCACAAAATAATTTTACATCTAATTCACGATAAATGATGTTTTTTAGTTGATATATGTTCATGTGGTAGATGAGAAGAAAATAAGTTATTAAATTGTGTATAATAAGTTTCTAACCTGTGAAATCACAAAAAGTTAAAATTGTATGTAATTGTTAATACAATTTAATGATTAAATTTGATTTAGTTGAAAGAAAACATTGCTTTGTGATGGTTGGATGGATATGATATTGGTTACTAATGTTGTGGCCTGGAAAGGAAAGAGATTTTTTTTCTTACTATTTATTTAATATTCGGTAACCTTAACCATGAGTTAAGACACTTGTCTCTTTTTAGAGAGATGCCTTCGCCACAAAATTCGAAGAAGATTAGTTAATTTGATTTAAGTGACAACACTCACCCATTTTTTTAATTAATTTTTCAATTAACTAACTAAAACAAACTAAATATCATTAATTATTTAAATAATGAATTAATTACATTTAAATTTAACTAATAATTAAATTATGGAAAAATAGCCAAACTTCTCATAAATTTCAATTATGGCCAACCGAATTTGAGATAATTTAAAAATAAATCTTCATAAATGTTTGGAACTAGATTTAGTTTAGGGAAAAAAAATCAATTTGGACAAAAGTTTCTTTGTCAAAAACTCCGTCAAGAGATGATCTTGCCATGTCTAAGCAAGGTTGGCTACTTAGACGAGGTCTTCAATTAGTTGGACAAAGTCGTGCGTAGCTGACATAAAAAATACAAATCATTTAAATAATTAAGTTTTTTACCTACTCAAAAAATAATAATAATAATAAATAAGTTTTTTACCAATAAAAAATAAAATGTCGTATTTGATGCTTAAGCAAGGTAGTTCCAAAAGACGACCTTATATTAAAAAAATATAATATCGAAATGATTATATTTAATATAATTAATTGTTTTTACAATATTAAAAAATAAAATAAGTCCCACAAATAGAGATTAGTAGAAAGTAGAGGGGGCTACGTCGTCGTTTAGGTTTAGCTGACGACTCGCCAATCTCCACGTTACCTCTTCACCTACCACACAAATTTGCTCAAATCACGTGCACGTCACACACCTACCCCCTCCCCTCTCTCTCACCTATCCACACCATCTCCTTTTCTCTCCCTACTGACCATTAAATAATTTCATTTTAATTACAAATTTAATTCCATTTTAATTAAAATTTATTATAATTGTAATCAAATAAATATTAGAGCTATTTGTAATTAGTTAAAAAGAAAAAAGATGTATACTAGTAATGGTTATATATCTGATTTCGACTTTGATTCTAAATAATTTTAATTAACATCAAAAGAATTCTGATTTTGATTCCAAAAAGTTTAGGATAAACACCTCAAAAAAATTAACATTTTTATTCTGATTAATTTGATTCAAATTCATTCCATTCCAATAACTTGATAAAAACTTTCAAAATTTAAGAGATTGGATAAGAGTCAACACTCCCCCTCGCTTGTGAATAATGGAAGGACGTTCTACTGTGATCATGTTAAGGATTAATAAATCACCACTTAACCCAAGAGTTTAAACTGATTAGTTTGATAAAATTAATTCATTTATATGGATTCTCAACATTAATTATGGTTAAGTGAATATAATCTCTTACATTTATTAAAGTGAATGATTTAATTCTTCACTACGTATTTGTTGTATTGAAAAATATATATATATATATATGAAAATTGTTATTTAAAAGTGCATTTTCTAAATGTGATTGTTTTTATTTTGTTTGTTGTCGATAAGATAACTCGTAAATTACAATCTGTTAATAACAGTTTTTAATAATAATAAGTTGTCAATCAAATAGTTTTTAAGTTTATTACGAGCAATAAATAAATAGACCATTTAAAATATTTATTTAGGTTAAAAAACACATTTGGTCCCTGAACTTTGATTAAAGTAACGATTTAGTCYCTGCATTTCCAAAAGTAACAATTTAATCCCTGTACTTTGAAATTAGTTACATTTTAGTCCTTGCCGTTAAAATTATGGTTAGATTTAACGGAAGTGTGACGTGGCTGTACATGTGTACAAATTAAATGGACAATTGTATAGTTGGTTGGTTCAATCCCAAAACGGTTCAAATTTGGACCAGTTTAGAACTTAAAAAAAATATATATATAAAATGAAAAATGTCCTCTCTTTCATGACTTCTTCTGAGCATATTCTCCGGCACTATCTTCGGCACCCTGAAGCCCCCTTCTCCCTCTCTTCCTCCTCTCCGCCGCCATGATACAGAAGTTTGTCGCTGGCGTCAACCTCACCCCTGTCGACTGGGGTGGTTTAGATAAAAGATAAATAACAAATAAGCAGTCGTTCTAATTCTCCCATTGGATAACAACATAACCCTTCCCTTCCCCCTCTCATTTCATAATGGTGGGTTGTCACTCCTATCCTCTTCCCTTCTTTTATTTTTTTCCCTTTCAATCCCTCTTCTTCTCAATTGACCCACAAAGATGGTTTGATTGAAGATTCTCTCGATTTTGTGAGTTTTCTTTAATTTTTGTCTTGATTTTCTCGAAAGAAGAAGATCCAGAAGACGAAGGAGATTGCAGTGGCGATAGTGAAAACCTCCACTTTTAAATCCAATCATCGCGGCACCGAATCGGTACAGCACAGAAAGAGGGGCAGACCTCGCAAGATTGTGATGAAGCACAAAACGAAGAGAAGAACGAGGAACTTTCGCTGTCGGAAGTTGCAAAAATACCGCCAGAGAATAAAGTTAAAACCACCGAAGATGAGCAACCGCCGCCGCCCACTGTGGAAGGAGGTGAAAAACAAGAACCAAATGAGAAGCAGAGGAAGGAGGAGGAAGAGAGATGAAAAGGAAGACATTTTCATTTGATAACATTTGTAGTTCTAAACCGGTTCAAATTTGAATCGAACTGATATGAGACTGAACCAACCGACTGCATAGTTGTCCATTTAATTTGCACACATGTACATCCACGTCACACTTCCGTTAAATCTAACCAAAATTTTAACGGCAGGGACTAAAATGTAACAAATTTAAATGTACAGGGACTAAATTGTTACTTTTGAAAGTTTAGGGACTAAATCGTTACTTTATTCAAAATTCAGGGACCAAATGTATTTTTTAACCTATTTATTTAAGATGTCAATGGTATCAAGCTGGGTGGAAAAAGAGAGCAAGTCAATAAAGAATATTAGATAAAGTAAATAAATATATATTCTTCATATTTAATGATTAATGTAGACAAATAAAATAAAACAATATTGACTTTGAAAACAAAATAAATCCAAAAATAAGTGGGGGAGGACCAAAAAAAAGGGCCAAGGTTGGATTGGAAATTTCAATGGTTAGTTTGGTTTAAAAAGAAAAAAAGAAAAAAAAAAAGCTGGCAATAACAGTAAGAACGGGTCACCTGCATAACAGCCTACAACAAAAATCTCCACCAATTAAAATTAATTATTACTCGCTAAAACTTAAACCCGTCATTTAATTCCCAAAAAGTTTATGACGTGACGTTTTTTATTTTCCATTTAAATAAAAAAAGAAAATAATAAAAAAAGAAAGAGAATGCAGCATATAGTTTTTTTTAAGTCCGGCAACTTGAAATTTTAATGATATTCGGGGATTTTTTTTTAAATTTTATTTTAAGTGTGTTCATAGGTATTTTTTAAGATGCTAAAGAATATTCTATAAATACGAATATAAAATTACTTAATTTTGAAAAGGAAAAATAATGAATATACAATATCTCGGAGAAGTTAGCTTATTTGAAAGAAAGAGAAAAAATTATTGTTCTTTGAACTATCTCCTGGAACTACAAATTATTGGAATAAGCTCAATAAATATAAATGAATATATTAATTCATTTGAATTAAGATTTATTATTATTACCTATTATTGTTTTAATAACTTTTGATACGTTAAGAATTAGTTATTTAGCAGTTAGTCTGTTTAAATGTAGTCTTTAAATACTCTTGTAATATTCTTTGACAATTAATGAGAAGCACTCTCTGATTTTAGGGAGAATATTAGAATTATATTTCTTTAATTTGATCAAATGACACAAATGTGATGGGAATTTGATAAATATAACAATTAATTTAGGTTAAATAATAGTTTAGAGGATTTTTCCAAGAGAAAGTATATAAAGATAATAAACTAGAGTGGAGAGTAAACTCAATTTCTTTTTATAAGTCACATTTAACAATATTAAAATTTAAATCAATCAATTCAAAGTTAATAATAATAGTGATCCATAATAGCTTTTACTAACTTAAACACTCTGTATTATCGATCAAAATGTAAGAGAGGGTGGAAAACTAACCGACACACACCTTTAAAGCCCAAGAAATTAATTGAAAGTTAGGGTTAAAAAATCCAACTTTTAAGAAGTCCTAAATGTTCCCAACTAACCCAACTACAAAAACGCCCTATTTCAATCTCAAAATTGAAACAGGCTTGACAAAAATCAATCCAAACAAAATAGTAGTCCGGTCCAACCACGAATCTCTAGGAAACAGCCACTCAATTCAGGGAAGCTATTCATTCCAACCGTTATTCACGTTTTTCACATTTTTCTATACAAACATTCCCAACTCTACTCAATCAAATACAAAAAGTATACATACATTAGATATAATATTATATAGACTTGTTACAATTCACCAACCTCCCCGCCACCACCGTCGCCGCTTGCCCTACCTAACACTACCACCACCATGACGACGTCGTTTTGACCATCTCTAAGATGGCTCGCTTCGAAAGCGAAAAAAATAAAAAAAGGAAAACATAACAGGAGGCTGATTTTGGGGATCGGTTTCTTCTCCCCGGCCGTTCTTCTACGTGCAAACTTGAAAATTGAAATTTGATTAAAGAGATAATAATCGACGGAATATGATTCGGCTAATCGGAATTGGCGCCGGAGGGGGACCAAGGAGTCATGTCCATTGGATAGCTGCCCAAAACTCGCAAGAAGGATGTGAATTCCTGGACTTCTGCTAGTGCGTTTTGTGCCCTAGTTTCAGCCATGGACGCCTCGAAATCGACGTAGAACATGTACTCGAAGTGCTTCGCCGTCCCGACGTTCG